CGAGTTTCCAAATGGTCAGTCCACCTCTGCACAGGACACAATTCCTTGGCAAAGGAGGTCCAAGTGATACCTCAATTTTTATGTTCCAAGACCGGACAGCATGGAAAGGTTCCCATGTATTGTTACCTCCTGTCACTTACCACCACTCTGCAACTTTTAAAAAGAACAGGATATCACTTTCAACCAGCTTCTTCAGGGTTTCTTCCCAGATAGGGAGATTCCTTCAGCACTCCAATTCTTCCTTTAAAGTTCGGGAGAAATATCATTCTTCCTCACCAGGCAGAAGCCCAGGAGTAAAGACTATGTGCAAGGAAGGGCCCGAAATATTTAATACCTTTCTTGCTGGTTTGTTGGCAACACAGGGGAACTGCATGCTGTCCAACAAATTTTTATATTTGCCTGAATGATATGTGAGTTAGCATTGCGGTCACTGATCAGTCCACGCCACCAGGCCTTACACCAGTGGGACCACTTCTTCCCACCCGCCAGTGACACCTGTCCTGGCATCATCTACAGAGTCAAATTGAGGGTAATAGTGCAGAACACTGGATGTAACAGGTATAGCGAGCGCTACGGGTAAGTAAATGTAAGCAGCTAAACACCAAACAAAGGTAACCAAAAAACCTTTCAATAATCAATAAAGGGAGAAAGATAGGTGTAGCGCTTTGAATCAGAGTGCAAAAAGAATACTCAAAAGGTGTATATGTACATATATATGAATATGAGTACAATGATAAACAGTGCGCTAATCAATAAAAGTGTTTAAAGCACACACACAGTCCACATCCCAAATCAATGGTGGTAGGAAGGGTGAAGGGAATCCTAGGAGCGAATAGAGTGCGCACTCACCAGAAGTGCGTAAAAATTACGCATGTAGAGAGATAAACTCCTAAGTATGTCTCTGGCATCCAGGCTCTGGTCAGATCGCACTCCACACCATCCTCTATGGCACCGCGGACCGCAGTAAACCGGATTCCCCAAATGGCAAGGGCGTCAAATGTACTCCTTAGTCCAAAAAAGGCAATGGTGGCTCATCTGTTAACCCATCAAATGCCCCATTATCATGGGTGCAAAAGACATTGTTCACATGGCAGGCAGTGATCAGACAATCTTTAGCAGAGACCACATCCCACAGTGAAGAAGCAGCTTCAAGGACTGCACCCAGTGCTTGTGAATCATTATATAAGTGCACACACACAAAAATTTTTGTGTGTGTGCACTATATAATGATTCACAAGCACTGGGTGCAGTCCTTGAAGCTGCTTCTTCACTGTGGGATGTGGTCTCTGCTAAAGATTGTCTGATCACTGCCTGCCATGTGAACAATGTCTTTTGCACCCATGATAATGGGGCATTTGATGGGTTAACAGATGAGCCACCATTGCCTTTTTTGGACTAAGGAGTACATTTGACGCCCTTGCCATTTGGGGAATCCGGTTTACTGCGGTCCGCGGTGCCATAGAGGATGGTGTGGAGTGCGATCTGACCAGAGCCTGGATGCCAGAGACATACTTAGGAGTTTATCTCTCTACATGCGTAATTTTTACGCACTTCGTGGTGAGTGCGCACTCTATTCGCTCCTGGATTCCCTTCACCCTTCCTACCACCATTGATTTGGGATGTGGACTGTGTGTGTGCTTTAAACACTTTTATTGATTAGCGCACTGTTTATCATTGTACTCATATTCATATATATGTACATATACACCTTTTGAGTATTCTTTTTGCATACACCTATCTTTCTCCCTTTATTAATAGTGCAGAACACTGATTATCCTCATCCACTACTTACACATACAATTCACTTTGTTTATTTCAGCCCCAAGGCTTGGAGGGAAGCCACTGACACCTGAGAGACCCTGCACATTCATGACCCAGTCCCTGGAAAGCCCTATTCTGCAGTGGGCCTCAAGATAGGGTCCCTACTGCTGAGAAGGACAGACCAAACAATCAGAAATCAAAAAAGGCTTCTGTCACTGGCCACCATAGCTCCCTCTCCCAAACTTGCTGCTCTTCCTTCATTTTGCAGATGCTACACTCTTTTGCTCACTTGACTATCACCATAATTTTACACTTCATTTACTGTAGAAGCACACACTTGATTCCTGGTATAGTGACCAGACTAGGTGTTGTTGAATAAACAGAACTTGTTTCCTGAAGTTGACATCTTCACACAGGTCTCACACAGTTAAGTAGTATTATTATTATTATTATTATTTATATTATTATACAGTATTTATAAAGCGCCAATGGTTCGCTCAGCGCTGTACATTACAAAGGGGACAGAACATGTGACAGAACAATACCAATACAATGCAAAACATGAGGGGATCGAGGGCCCTGCTCTTTCGAGCTTACAATCTAGGAGGGAGGGGATGGTGGCACAGAAGGAGATAGCTGTGGGGGATGGAGTGGTAGGAAGAGTGTAGGAGGTCGGCAATTAGCAGGGGGTGGGGTAGGCTTCCCTGAAGAGATGGGTTTTCAGGGTGCCCCTACAGGAGAGGAGAATAGGTGATAATCTGATGGGTTGGGGCAGGGAGTTCCAGAGGATGGGTGACACCCTGGAGAAGTCCTGGAGGCAGGCATGGGAGGAGGAGACCAGGGAACTAGAGAGAAGGAGGTCTTGTGAGGAGCGGAATGTGCGTGCCGGTGTTACTTGGATATTAGGTCAGTGATGTAGTACGGGGCAGTATGGGGGACAGCTTTGTACGTAAGTGTTAGGATTTTGAATTTGATCCGTTGCGCAATTGGAAGCCAGTGGAGGGATTGGCAGAGGGGGGTGGCGGAGATGGAGTGGTTGGAAAGGTGAATGAGTCTGGCAGCCGTATTCAGGATCGACTGAAGCGGGGATACCCAGTGGCGAGGCAGGCTAGTGAGGAGGGAGTTACAACATATTTCATGAATACTAACAATTACAAGGTTTCTTCTTCATTTAAGAACTAAACATCCTTTAATGGCAACACAAGCTGTGGTTTTGGTTGTAGAAGTGATGCTAATACCTTTAGCAATTGGCTATTCTGTTTCTCCTTATCCCACATACAGGTTCCCTAGGAAGGGCGAATTCTACATGCTCAGTAATGACTACATCCTTATGTATGGCCTTCCTCCCGCATCCCATGGCATGAGTCTTACAGTATATACCCTCTAATGCAGGGGTCCCCGAACTTTTCATTAAAAGGGCCAGTTTACTGTACCTAAGATTTTAGGGGGGCCGGATTGTTGTCAGTAGGGGTAGAAAATGTCCCGGGCCCAGCATCAGTGAGAATAAACATGAAAAAAATTATAAGTGGAAATAGCTCCAAAATAGTGTTCTCATATAATCAATTAACATAATCTGCGAAACCTTACCCTTAAAATAAAGGTTGCAATCATAAAACAAAAAAAGGTACTGATAAATTAAATGTTCAAATTAATTAGTAGTAAAATTAAACATTGAAAAATTATATTGTGACAAAAAATAGAATTTGAAAATTTCTTTTTTCTCTTTTTCTATCAACAGTGAACAGTGTCCATCACCACAAAAACAGATTTGTGCACATCCACCACCAACAGAAATGAATAAACTCACTAGAGCAAATTGCCAGGTAAATTATAAACCAGCAATTGCACTTTTATGCTCTGGGAGCAATACTCTGCAGGCAGACTCAGCTGTGACCAGCTTTTCAAAATATTCCTCTCTCAGCTTGTAGATGTAATATTCTGTAGGTCAGGGAGACCCAGATATCCGGACACTTCATTTATCTTCCTTGGAGCAATACTCTGCATATCTATAACTCAGCAGCAAAAACTTCCAAACCGAATTCCAAGAACTTCGTGCACAGGCTCAGAAAAGAAAGAAAAACTAAACAAACAATCGTGTGATACCGTACGACACGTTTATTCGTAAAAACTCATCATAATCCACTCACATGGAACAGTGTCATGGCTGACACTAGCAGCAAACACATTTCGTTAAAATCACAGAAAGCCGAGACGCCAGCCTCTTACAGAACGTAGTGACGTTAGTCCGAAGCTCCACCCTACGGGTTTCGTCATTCAACGTCTTCACGGAGCGGAAATATGAACGTCACTACCTACACAACACAGTAATTTATAATTCGTTCGCGGGAACGAATTTTCAAATCAATACTTAAAAAAATTATTATTTAAACGAAAATCATAAATACATAACCTACATAAAACAACAAAACTAACCTCATAGTTGGGAATCATATTATCACCCCAAAAATAAGGGGTGTATCATACACTCTAATAATGATCTTTTAACCACCTTCCGCCCACCATATAGTACAATGTCGGACGCAAGGTGGATCTCTCATATGACGTCCTTCCATTCTCACCGCGCATGCGCAGCTCAGGGAGCGCGTAGCGCAGCGATCGCCGGTGCGCTGTGTCCCTCGGACACAGCGGATCACGGAAAGAGCCGAAGATATCAGCTCGCTCATGTGATCAGCTGTGTCCAATCACAGCTGATCACATGTAAACACGGAAATGCCGGCAATTTTAACCACTAGCCTACAGGGCACTTATACCCCCTTCCTGCCCAGGCCAATTTCCAGCTTTCAGCGATGTTGCCCTTTGAATGACAATTGCGCGGTCATGCAACACTGTACCCTTATGAAACTTTTATCATTTTTTTGTGACAGATAGAGCTTTATTTTGGTGGTATTTAATCACCTCTTGGTTTTTTATTTTTTCTTAAACAAACCAAAAACCACTGAAAATTTTGAAAAAAAAAGTTTTTTCTTAGTTTTTGTTATAAAATTTTGTAAATAAGTGATTTTTCTTCTTCAATGATGTGCGCTAATGAGGCTACAGTGATGGGCACTGATAGGCTGCACTGATGGACACTGATAGGTGGCACTGATGGACATTGACAGGCATCACTGATGGGCACTGAAAGGCAGAACTCATATATGGAACTGATAGGCGGCACTGATAGGCGGCACTGACTGGCACTGATAGGCGGCACTGACTGGCACTGATAGGCGGCACTGACTGGCACTGTTAGGTGGCACTGACTGGCACTGTTAGACGGCACTGATAGGCAGCACTGACGGGCACTGATAGGTGGCACTGATGCACACTGACAGGTGGCACTGACTGTCACTGATAGGCGGCACTGACTGGCACTGACGGGTGGCACTGACTGGCATTGATAGGTGGCACTGACTGGCACTGATGGGAGACACTGAAAGGCAGCTCAGATGGGCACTGATATGTGGCATTGATGTGGCACTGATGGGCACTGAAATGTGGCACTGATGGGCACTGGCAGGTGGCATGGATGAGCACTGAGAGCTGGCACTGATGGACACTGACAGGTGGCACTGCTGGGGCTACACAGATCATCAGAGCACACTGATCATCAGTGCTCTGATGATCTGTGTACATGTCCCCTCCGAGGATTGCCAATTACCGACTCTCCTCTCCTCACGAGCTGTCAGCGTGACAGCTCGTGGGGAGAGAAATGTCGATAACCGGCATTTCCCTGTTTACATGTGATCAGCTGTGATTGGACACAGCTGATCACATGGGACCGAGCCGACATCTTCGGCTCTTTCCGTGGATCGGTGATCCGCTGTGTCCGAGGGACACAGTGCACCGCCGATCGCCGTGCTGCTTGCTATGGGAGCCGCGCATGCGCGGTTAGAATGGGAGGACGTCATATGATGTCCTCCCAGAAAGAGGGAACCGCCTTGCGTCCGTCATATTACTATATGGCAGGCGGGAGGCGGTTAAAGCATAACATGCTTGGTATCTATTTACTTAGCAAAACATCATGATATTTTTTTAAAAAATGGTATTATATTGTGTTTTTGTGCCTTAGAATTAGCAGATTTTTTCCTAAATAAATTGCCTTTGAAAAACCGCTGTACAAATATCATGTGACATACAAATATGCAACACTCACCATTTTATTCTCCAGGGTCTCCTCTTAAAAAATATGTAAAATGTTTGGGGATTCTAAGTAGTTTTCCAGCAAAATAATTGTTTTTTACATGAAGGAGATGGAAGTCAGAATTGACCCAGACTGGAAGTGGTTAAGAAGGGTTAGATCCCCTGTCAGGTTTTTAAAGCTATCTGGGGCAGACAGGAGGTGAGGAAAAATCTGCAATAAGGAAACTGCTTTAAAATAAGAGCATAGGTTCTAGTCTTCCCCTAAACCAGTGGTCGGCAAGCCGCGGCTCGCGAGCCACATGCGGCTCTTTACACGCTTTAATGCGGCTCTTGTGTGCTGGGCGCCCGCTCCCCTCCCTCCTCTCGGGCGGCAGGGACACTGCAGCGTGTTCCAAAAAAAAACAGCCAGGGCAACGCGCTCAAATGCAATGATTGGCCAGTCTCGCTGCCACTCACATCCTGATAGCCAGTGATTGGCTGTCAGGATGTGTGTAGGCGGGGCAGCGTGACGAACGTGAGAGGAGCTAGGCTCCTCTCACAGTCCGCCCTGAAGACCGGAACGGCGCGGGAACACGGCGAGAGGAACGCACGGCGGAGCAAAGGTAAGTGAATTGACACAGGGGGGACTTGGCTTACTACTTGCTACTTACTTACTACTAGGTAAGTGAATTACTATATGGGGGGATGAATTACTAGGGGGGATGAATTACTATATGGGGATGAATTAATGGGGGATGAATTACTATATGGGGGATGAATGGGGGATGAATTACTATATGGGGGGGGGGGATGAATTACTACTATATGGGGGATGAATTACTATGGGGGATGAATTACTATGGGGGATGAATTACTATATATGGGGGATGAATTACTATGGGGGGGTGAATTACTATATGGGGGATGAATTACTATATGGGGGATGAATTACTATGGGGGATGAATTACTATATGGGGGATGAATTACTATATGGGGGATGAATTACTATGGGGGATGAATTACTATGGGGGATGAATTACTATATGGGGGATGAATTACTATATGGGGATGAATTACTATAGGGGGGATGAATTACTATAGGGGGGATTAATAACTATATGGGGGATGAATTACTATGGGGGATGAATTACTATATGGGGGATGAATTACTATGGGGGATGAATTACTATGGGGGATGAATTACTATATGGGGGATGAATTACTATGGGGGATGAATTACTATATGGGGGATGAATTTACTATGGGGGGTGAATTACTATATGGGGGATTAATTACTATATGGGGGATGAATTACTATATGGAGGATGAATTACTATGGGGGATGAATTACTATATGGGGGATGAATTACTATAGGGGATGAATTACTATATGGGGGATTAATTACTATATGGGGGATGAATTACTATGGGGGAGGAATTACTATATGGGGGATTAATTACTATATGGGGGATGAATTACTATGGGGGATGAATTACTATATGGGGGATGAATTACTATAAAAACTTATTGAAACTAAAAACAGTGTACCATCCTATGTATTTTCAGTTTTAAAAATGTGGCTCTCAAAATAAATTTCAATCGTGGTTTTGGCGAGATTTGGCTCAGTTGAAAAAAAAGGTTGCCCACCACTGCCCTAAACTAAACAAAAAACCTTACTCTATCTGTGTTTCTGTTTGAAATTTACGCTACTTTCCTGTCTGATTTACCTATTTTCACCAAGACAGGAATTGATGGAAACTCTCTCCGACAGAGCCATGGCTCACAGTAAAAACCCGAACAGAAATGTAACCCTCCCTGACTCTGTAGGGCTGAGAACCAGTATTATATTTACAAATACATATTGTGAGAGAACTTCTATGAGATGTAAGGATAAAAAAAGTCAAACCAAAAAATTGCACTGAAAAAATAACTCAAAAAGGGCTTACTCAAATTGTTTTGTGTTTTCCATTTAGGAAGAGAAATGTAAATCCCTGAAAATGTAGGGTGGAAACAAGCCTGAAAAGAGCATTTAAAGTTTCCAGAAATGTTAGGGCCCATATGTCCTGTATCTGTTCATAAAAGCAGTCAGTTTTACCTCTACTGGTATGTGATAGACGAGCTTATTAAAGTGTATCTAAATCCAAACCCTTTTTTACTTGACATTTATGTATCATAGTTAACGAAAAACTATCAATACAATTGTTTTACATTGGTCTCCCCCAATGAGATAAAGGGCATGTGTTGTGAGGTGCTTCCTAAGTATATTTAGGAAGTCCAAACAGCTTCCACTCTCTTTGCTACAAATCTGACAACAGCTTGAAAGGAGACAGATCCATCAAAACTGCAGCTTGACTTAGCTCAGAGCACTTTCCTGAGACAAGCAGCAAAAATTATCAATACCATTTTTTTACATTGTTCTCCCCCAATGAGATAAAGTGCATGTGTTGTGAGGTGCTTCCTAAGTATATTTAGGAAGTCCAAACTTCTTCCACTCCCTGTGCTGCAAATCTGACAACAGCGTGGAAGGAGAGAGATCCATCAAAACTGAAGCTTCTTAGCTCAGAGCACTTTCCTGAGACAAGCAGCAAAAACTATCAATACAATTTTTTTTACATTGTTCTCCCCAATGAGATAAAGTGCATGTGTTGTGAGGTGCTTCCTAAGTATATTTAGGAAGTCCAGCTTCCACTCCCTGTGCTGCATATCTGACAACATCTTGGAAGGAGAGAGATCCATAAAAACTGAAGCTTGTCTTAGCTCAGAGCACTTTCCTGAGACAAGGAGCTGCAAGAAGAATGCAGAGAGACAGGAAGATGAACATCATCCCCCACATTCCTCTTGTCTCAGGAAAGTGGTCTAAGTTGGGACAACGTGCAGTTATGATCCATCCGTCTCCTTCCAAGCTGTTGTCAGATTTGCCATGTGGGGAGGGGGACAGGTTGAACTTTGTAACTATATATTGTGCTTTGTCCCATGGGTGCAGACCAATTTAATAAAATTGTAATGATAGTTGTTCTTTATTCAGTACAGCTTGGTCACATCTTAGCCCCCAATTTGTGACTAGACATGGAAGAAGCATTGATGAACTCTGATCCCTTGGCTCTCTCCTCCTGTCCTATTCCTTCTGAGTATATGTGTACTATGGCAGTCTCTGTTTGGCTTTAATTTGAGTTCTACTGTACAAAGGATTACATATGCCTGATACCAAGTGAAATCCAGGAATTTACACTGGTTGCATTTGAAACAATGTTATTATTTTTAGATGAATTAAAACTGTAAATTTTTGTGTTGTTTTCCTACATACCTGAAATTCATCATTAGGAAGAAAATCCACCATATCCATAGAAAAGTGCTCTGTTTCTTTTTAAATCTTCCAAAGCTGAGATAATAACACAGGCTGAATTTGCATGAACCAAATCAAAATCTGGTTTGGATAAAATGCTTTGCTCATCTCTACATTTTATATAGAATTTAGTATAAATCAAGGATGTGGTACAACATGGGGATTCATTCACGTCATTAATCTTACTTTAACAGGCTTTTCCCATGGAAGCTTTTATATCACAGCTGCTCTCAGGAGTCAGTCAATAATTTTCCTAATGAATACCAGGCCATTGTAGAATTGCAGAGACAGTGCCAGGGGAGCTCTCTTCATTTCCGAGTATAAAGCTAGTTCAGCCTTGTTTTCCCAGTTACTTAGTAAGGTCAGCTAATATAAGTTAATTGTACAAAACAGTTGATGGCGGTCTTCTTGGAACCAGATTAAATAGCTGTTATGTTTGTTGTCATCTTAACTAATTGTTTTTTTAATTACATGAATTTTGTACCTTAAGCCTCACACACGGGCTCCTGGGGCTATACAATGTAAACTTCAGGTGTATTTCTCCACAGGGAGCCACAGGTGTTGCATACAGCTATACAGAGAAATCAATGGCCATCCGTACATATACAGAAATTCTGGGTGGCAGTTCCAGTCAAGCTGACTCTGGACCCACCCTGCTTCTTCTTGGATGGGATAGTCACCTACCTGTTGTTTTAGAGTCACTTTGCCATCTTGTGTCACTTCCTTCCTTCCCTGAGGCCCATCCTTTTACATATCCCTGGCCTGAGGCCTTTTACCTGAAACAAAGGATGTTCAATCCAAAAAAAGTTTCAATGCTTTTCTGGAACAGTTCAGCCACATACAGCAATCATTCTCTTCCAATTATAGAATCACAGTGCAAGACACTGATTTACAAGACAGATCTCCCTTCAGCAGCCATCTTCCAAGATGTGATCATTTACTTGCATGAAGGTGACTCTACACATTTGGAGTTCCTCAGCTTGGGCCCAGAGGCTATTTCCTAACCATGCCAGAGCAGCTGCTGGATAAAGGTCAGGGGTAGTAAGTTTGTTCCATCTTCATCCTAAAGTGTCCATAGCCATCCTTTCTGCCAATTCAGCCCAGCCTGGCTGTCTCTCTCTCTTTACACAGGACACAGACCTACATATTGTTGGTCAAGGGTGTCCTTTTTCCATACCCGAACTCCCAGGGCCCCAACTACAGCTGGTGTAAATAGGCACTAACTCCATCCACTACATCACCTAAAAAGGGCCAGCAAATAAAGAGCACTTACACTGCTAACACATGCCACCCCCCCCCCCTCCTAGACACAGCAGCTCATACTTGGAGGGTTTCA